CAAGCATTTCGGTCAACTGTAATTTATGCAATATTTCAAATCTTTGACCCAAGGGGAGAAATCAACCCACAGCAACAGTTTAATAGTAGCCCAATTCTGGAAAAAAACACAGACTTGACAACCCGATGAACTCGATAACATTCACTATGGTTTCAGACACTACAAATGGCTATCCCCTCAAACAGTGCCCTTTTTAAGGGTATAGGGACCAGTTTCGGACACAGCCTCAGGGTTTGAGTCGTTCATTCAGCTAACGCTATGCAGTCTATACCGGAAACAATATTCATACAATAATTCACCTCTCGAGTCTTCAGGGTTTGAGTTGCAACTCTTTGTTACCACATTAAATGTAATGGGAAAAAACCCATCATGACAGAAATTCACAAATGTACAAATAATAAAAAAAAAGCTACAGTTTGAGACCAGAAAGGCATCACTTAAAGGTGCAGTGTGTAAATTTTAGCGGCATCTAGTGGTGAGGTTGCTAATTGCAACCAACAGCTGAGGCCCCCGCTCACCCCTCCCTTTAGAGAAGCTACGGTGGCCGATACAGGACTAAGATGTCGTCGGTAAAGACAGCAGAGAGCAATGAGATTTCTTACAAATGTAAATTAACGAATTATATTTACTTAATTATTCAATAAATCAATGTTATTGCGAATATTAATGTACTTGTTCATCATTGTGTCAGTGTTTTATTAGCAAGAACAACAAAGTGAAGAAACGCGCTGTGTAGAGCAGTTTGTCCGTTTAGGGCTACTGTAGAAACATGGTGGCAACTTCCATGTAAGGGCACCCGCGGTGTATGTAGATATAAATTGCTCAATCTAAGGTAATAAAAACATAACGGTTCATTAAGTAAGGTCTTTATACACCTCTGAAAACATAGTTATGTATATTATATTGCATTTCTGCCAATAGATCGATGTAAATATTACACATTGCACCTTTAACTATGCCCATGTTTGTAACAAAAGTTGAGAATTATTAACCAATTTCTGTATCTAATACTGCTATCACGTCACATGACAAAAGGACGAATGACTCAGACCCTAAGACTCTGGAGGTGAACTAACCATTTCTCTTCGGTACAGACTGCATAGCCTGTAGTCTATGAGACTATCACGGGATGAACGAATGACTCGAACCCGAACCAGAGGACTTGAGAGGTGAACTAATAATTTCTGTTCAACTAATAAATAATGGGCCTCATTCATGAAACATTCGTAAATATATAAGTAAATTCTGAGTAATTTATGCGTAAAACGGACCTTCCCGAAAACTCTCCTCCGGATTCACAAATACTTCGTAAAGGTCAGATTTGATAGTTAAATGTGTGTATGTCAATGAATTCCAATCATTCGTAAATAGGGCGCGCATGCACGCTCATTCACAATTAGCATATTCCCCGCATATGAATTACAGCTACGCAAATTACGCATCTAGGAATTCTCAGGTTTGGGACGTTATATAACATAAATGCATAAGAGACTAATAGGCTGTATGCCTAACAATAAATTAATAAATTAACGTGTCTACACCAGAGCGTTTTTTGCCAGCTGACATAATGCCTGGTGCTCTTCTGAAAACGACCAGCTGGTGGTGCTTAAGTTGAGAGAGCTTTGGAGGCACTGCATTTTTCTGGAGCGACGCGTTGTTTGCTATGATTTGGAATATTCATGGCAGTAACATGTTACGAGTATCTTATTTTGAAGAATATTACTGAATATAAAAATGCAGTAACCAGTAATATTAACTTTTCCATTGTTGTGTAGTACAAGTATGATCATGGTTGGTCAATGTAATGTTTATCCCGCCCCTCCTCCACTGTGATTGGACGGCTGTGTAAAAAGGGACAGTGACAAGCTCTGCGTTTTACCCATAGACCAGCGGTGGCGAACTCCAGTCCTGGAGAGCCGCAGCCCTGCAGAGTTTTGTTTCAACCCTAATCAAACACACCTGAACAAGCTCTGTAGCTTTCTAGTAACCCTTCAGACCTTGATTAGCTTGTTCAGGTGTGTTTGATTAGGGTTGAAACAAAACTCTGCAGGGCTGCGGCTCTCCAGGACCGACGTTCGCCACCCCTGCCATAGACTGTTTTACCCAAAGTTAAAGAGTAAAAAACGAAAAAAAGACAGGGCAAATGAACTCGTTAAATATCATTCTAATTCTATTCATAGTTCATAAAAATGCAGTGTCATCAGTTTGTCTAAAAGAATACAGAACGTTTGAATGTTTTATGCACTATTTACACATGGTAGGGAGCAGGTGTAAATTTCTTTCGAACCATCTAACATTTTTAAAATAAACTAAAATAATAAATTACACAAAATCGTTCTGCTCGTGTTTCATGAATGAGGCCCAATGTGTGTAAACTATCTAGCAACAAGCCATACCATTCTTAATGTAGGTAGCTAAACAAAAAAATTTTGAGTTATGCTTGTAAAAGTTACCTATAGCAGCATGAACAGAAGCATCAAAATCTGGTTACTTATCTCTACATTTCCTTGCCTCTTCTTCTTTAATTTGTATTCCAGCTTCAATTATTTGTTTAATCAAATGCGGCAAGAGAAATATGGTGGAATGACTCCGCCTTCTAAATAAGAGCCAGTCTCTGATTGTTAAAGTCATCATATCACCAAAGCAATTATACATAAAAGAATTTGCAGACAGTAAAAAAAAGAAAAGAAAACAAATAAATATAAAATTTAAATGGTCATGAACAGGTTTAGAGAAAGATGATGGAAAAGGTTCTCTAATAAAACAAACTCGGGTAATCCAAATAGGAGAAGGCAACGTAACAGCGTGTCTACACACAAACAATACCAGACAACAACTAAATGAAAAGGAGGAACTTAAATACACAGGCTGATTGAACTCAAATGGTGAACAGGTGATGACTCGTTAATCAGAAACCATAGTAACAAACAAGGAGCAGGAAACTGGAACAAAGGAACACAGGTAATAGATGGAAACAAATTTACAATGTAATATTCTTTATGTAATATTCTTTCCTTTTGTTAGAGGAAATGTTAATAAGAATAGACTTTCCTTGCAAGGGACTTTGATGTAATTTCATGTCCGGGAACAGCATTGAGCCTCCTGGTCTTTATAATTATGTGAGAGTAATAGCCTCTTGATATTTTAATAGAACAACCAGATCATGATCCTACAACATTGTCTTTTAAAACTATCCAGTTATCATTTGCATATAACAATGCAATGTAAAGATGAGCTAAAGTTATTAATAAAACTTATGAAATTATCTCCAGGCCACAATGCCCAAGAATTGAATGGAAATTTACCAGTAGGCTATCAGTAGGTTTTATTTTAAAGGTGCAGTAGGAGATCTTGGAAAATGCTAACTTTAGCCTGATCGCACTGAAAGCGAACGTCCCACCTTCCCTGCAATCGCCGTCCAAAGCCACACTTCCTGAACGCATTTACGCTCACAGACCAGAATATTTTCTGAAGACAATCACCTATTGCACCTTTAAGAAACACAGCTCTCTATTTAAATCAAGATTTTGTGATCACTGACTAGCAGAATCATTTGCCTCTTCCTTAAGCTTGTTAAAAGTACAATTATGTACCTTGTACAGAATTATGTACAGAAATAAGACCTCTACCAATGAGGCATTTTTTATATAGTGCTTTATTGCGTATTGCTGTACACCAAAAGCACTTTACAACTGTGAGGGGGGGGGACCAGTGTACAACATCCACCTGGATGATGCGACGGCAGCCACAGGACAACGGCGCCAGTGCGCTCACCACACACCAGCTACAGGTGGAGAGG